CTGACTCTCTGATAAGCGCAGTTGATAAAAAAAAAAGTCTACACGTCTCAGAGGTTGAAGGATAACTGTTCAGAACCTAATTGTTCTGATAATGTTGCAGAGCTGGCTGCAATTAACTGGTGATTAACTAAGCATTGGGGATAATTTCCAACATACCCACAGACCATTACTTCTTCTTCTCGGATAGTCTCAGTTCGATTAAGGTTATTCGGTTCATCAAAGGTAAGGGAGCAAATAAGTGTGCTGGTCGAAAGATCATATATAATAACCTTTGTATGGGTTCCCGCACATTGCTCAATCCCAGGCAATGAAAAGGTGGAGTCTCACGCAGGAAGGCAAATTGTACGACAGACACATTTCAAACTACGAATTTTACCATTTAATGCAGGCCTGCCCAACGATTTTGAACCGCAGGTCAAATAAATACATTGGAGTCGGTTTCGACGCATTTTTTTTACGCCGTACGTTATTAACATTTTACCATTCACATTATGAATGTGGGCAAAAAGTAACAACATTTCGTATCTTAAAAAAAAAAACAATTTCTGGTGAAAATACAAAAATGTAAAAAAAAAACTGTTTATAGTACCTAGCATGCAAAAACTACACGAGCTATCAGAATCCAAACATTTGCAAATGTTTAAGTATGTAAATTTATCAACCTCGGTAGGTCGGGTCTTAAGCGGTTTCCCACATTTTTACACAATCAGAAGGTTTCGTGTTATTCAAATAGCGTTAAAAATTACTAAAATAAATAAAGAATACAAAGGAAGGATCTTTCCAGTTCACTTTATCACGAAAAGTTGCAGAAACTTGTTTGTGATTGATGTAATATAGATGTTTCCGCAAAATTTATTTTTTATTGTTAGCTTTTAAGATAACAGTGGTCATTTTTGGCTGGTCTCCAATGCTCTCCAAACCGAAATTTGACAATTAACGGATAGCGAGACCGCCAAAGAGCGACTGTTGAATATCCTCGAGGCCCAAAGAAGACAACCCTATATTTCTATCAGTTATATTTCTATATTTTTGTGTTCCAGCCTGTGGTTGAACTTGGCTGACATAAAGCGGTGATTCCAAAATTCTGAAAATATTTTCTTTATATCAAGTGAGTGGAAGCAACCTTGTCCGCCATGATTGCTGTGCACTGATCGAGGCCAAGGAGAAAGCAGCAGCTGAAGCACAGGAGACACCGAAGGAACCCCCGAAATCCACGCTCGGAGAAGAAGAAAAGGGAAACGCCAGGAGAGGAAGAGGAGTTGAAAAAACTCAAGAATGACAAGGAAGACAAGGAAGGATAGCCGAAAGAGAAGTTGAAACAACGGAAGGAAAAAAAGTGAAAAAGAAAGAAAAACAGAAGAAAGAGAAACCCAGGCCTCATCGGGAGCGAAGGAAGGGCGATGCTCTGATCGTCGAAGCAAAATACAAAACGACGTATGTAGCACTCCTCCGGAAGGTGCGAGAAGATCCGGAGTTGAAGGAGCTAAGAGAGAACGTGGTGAACCAGGCGCACCCAGAAAGGCGAGATGCTATTTGAGCTGATGAAGGATCCTGCGATCAAGAGCAGAGCTCGTCGAAAAGTCTCTTGACGAAGGGGCGAGCATAAGAGCTCTATCCCAGGAGACAGTGGTCGAGTGCAGGGGTCTGAACGAGATCACCTGATCATGTCTTGATATCAATCCGGATAAGGAAGGCGTACGGTGGCATGCAAACATCGTAGGGGTATTTGATAATTCTAGTTGGCCAAAACTATTTTTACGTGGTAACTATTTCAGATGTCATTTGAATAACTCTATAACGGTACTACGACCATACACATGGAATATGTTCAGACTAAAAACCAATTACCAGTACCGTACATGAGTGTCACTTTGGATAATGAGCGTAACTTTCCACCTCTTTTTTCTTCTTTTTGTTACACTGAAAAATAGTCCCAAAACTACTACAAAAGGTATGTTGGCACCTCTAAAACAACACTATGGCCATAAATATGGTACATTTTCTATATTCAAACGAATTAACAGTACTGTACATGGGTGTAACGTTGAATTATGAGTGAAAATTTCCATATTTTTTATCTTTTTTATTACACCAACCCTAAAACTGTTACAAAAGAAATTTTATTACTTCTAAAACGGTGCTATGACCCTATGCATGGTATATTTTGAGATTTAAACTAGCTAACAGTACCGTAAATGGGTTTGAATCTCCATCCCTTTATTTCCCCTTTTTTGTTACACTTAAAAATAATGTTAAAGCTGCTACCGAACATATTTTGACACCTTCATAATGGTACTAAGATCATGGCACATTTTCAGACAGAAACCAACTACCAGTACCATGCATGGGTGTTACTTTGGATATTGACGGTAACTTTTCATAACTTTTTTCTCCTTTTTGTTACACTAGGAAAAAAAGTCCTAAAACTGCTACTAATGATGTGTTGCCACATATGACCACATGCATCCATATTATATAGACTTAAAACTTAGTACCAGTACCATACATTCGTGTACCTTTGGTACGATCAATCTGCTTATTTTCTTTTATTGAGTGTAAACTTGAAAATCAGAATAACTCACAAGCGGGGTGGTCAGTGTGCTCACTGAAAGGCACTCCTCGTGTTACCAAGCAACTGGAGCGATGCTTAAAGCGTATGGATTTCGGTCACCAGGCGAGGAACTGCAATGGGCCTGACAGATGTGATATGTGTAGATGCGGGGAGGTCACATTGCAAGAGGCTGCATGAAGCAACCGAGGTGCATGCTCTGAAAAAAAAGGACGGAAACGATCATACGACGTGAGGCTGCCTAGCATACAAAAAGGCGATGGCAGGCTTACAGTAATGGAGGTAACCCAAATAAACCTTAGTCATTGCGACATAGCACAGCAATTGTTGTGACAGTCGACAACAGAAACAAAGTGCGACGTTGCAATCATTGCGGAACCGTATCGAGTCCCTCCCGATAACGGTAACTGGGTGGCGGATAGAGCTGGGATGACGGCGGCTATACAAGTTATGGGCAGATATCACATTCAACAAGTGGTTGCCAGCTCATACGAAAGCGAGAACTTGCGACCGGAAGTGGAAGACGAAGGCTTTCGACAATGATCTTTTCGTTAAAGTACTCCGTGTGGACAGGGGTCTGAACGTGGACAAGCTGACAGAAACGTTAGCGAGAATGTGACACGACCATGCCGAGGAAGCTGGAGCCAAATAACAAACACTCTCCACGCTAGTTGTCTCAGAACCATTGAACAGAATAGTGTTCAGAGAGCAATAACAGAAGCAGACAAAGAGATACGATGAGGAGTGTTTCGAGCGACCAGGGCCGCACTTAAACGAAGGATAAAGCAGAGCAAGTTAAACTGTTCTAAGGAGTTGTGTCGAGACGCTGATGCCAACCCCTGGGGCGACGCATACCGAGTCGTGATGGCGAAGATCAGAGATCCATCGATGTTCGCTTAAATGTGCCCAGAGAAGCTGAATGTCATTGTGGAAGGATTTTTCCAGAAGCACGACCCAACGACCCGGCCACCTTCACCGTACGGAGAGGGAGAAGGAGATAACGTCGATCTCACGAACGAGGAACTCGTAGCAGTGCCTAAGTGTCGAAAGGATTGAAGGTGAAGAAAGCTCCCGGTCCGGATGGAATCCCCAAGTTCCCACAGGGGCATCCCGATTTTTGTGGAGTTGGAAAAAGGGTAAATGATCCATTCAAAGCCTAACACTTCATGTCATAACAATTGAAAGTGAGGGTTTCGAGTTATGGACTGTTAAGCAATATCGAATACGCCATTTTGTAAATATTTGCGTGTTTCAAAATGGCAGCTCAAATATTAATGATTGACAATAACATACAATAATGCACAGTTTCATGACAATTGGAGAACGTCGCGTCAGATCTATTTGTCATTTGGCGTGGAACTGCTCAATAGCCTATTCATGAAAAACCATGAAGATAAAGTCGTCGAAAGGCATGTTTTGGTGAAAAACTGTAATTGTCCCCTACCAGAGGGCATGTCCGTGGTCCCGGAGTGGCCAATATTATTAATGCATTATGGGGGCGACCCCGGCGTAGTGGTTAGAATGCATACATCGCACGCTGAAAAAAATGTTCTATTTCAAGACTATAATTAGCCTATTCTTAAAAGTAATGAAAATAAAGCCGTCAAAAAGCATGTCTGGTGAAAAACTTGAACTGTTCCCTACTACAGGTTCCCCTAACGACATCCCATAAGGTTCCGTAACGACCAATATGGTTAATGATTCATGAAGAGACCATACATAATCTATGCAAGAAAAATCATGAAGAAAGACCTGTCGATCGGGATGCTTAGGTGATTGTATATATTAGTTCTTTACAGTGGTAGCGATCTCATACAGAATTCTACGGATGTTCAAAAAATGTATTTTCTTCGAAAACGGGTCCGCACGCTGCCCTAGTAAAATTTATAAAAGAACTGTGGAGCTAGATGACGATTTCAGTAAAATTAGGTATACCTATTATATAATATGTAGTTTTATTTGGTACTTGTCACGCTCCTGCACTTCAAAGAAAACACCCCTAAATACACAAATGTTCAGTAGGTTTCAAGTAGATGAGGGTAAGACATTGGAGATTGGAGAGTAAGATCCAGCCAGTTGAACTTTAACCTGGTATTTGGAGTTTTAATAGGGAGCTAAGAATTAAGCGCACGATAATGACATTTTTAACCCTGAGTTAGGGTATGAGTCGGATGAATTAAATCATTTACTTTACTCTCTTTATTCATACGGCCCAATTTATACTGTGTGAAAGTTGCTCTTCTTGAATCATATTCTAGTATAAACAATACAAATAAACAGTTTAATAGAAACATACACGATGAGGTTTATTCATGCACCAACGACTCGATGCTTTGTCGAACCAAATTTTTTAATTCTATTAAAAATAAACTCTCAAACTAAATTCTTTTCTTTACCACGTGCTTCTTAATTGCGTCATAACCTATATTAGCGCAACCGTTACCCATGTGGAAATATGCGCAAATGTGGTATGTTTTGCTGAATGGAACAGCAAGAGGAGAACACATAACCATCAAGCGTAAGCCATGACAGCCTAGAAGAATATCGTTTGGTGGTCGAAAGAGTAGTGCACACTTAAAGATAAGCTGTCATCGTCCCCATTCCTAGTGCTCTACTTCAGTTCCGAAGAATCTTTACACACCCAAGTACCACCGATTCATGCTGTGAAAATCATTCGCCAAAATAATTTGAAAAAATACCGAAGAATAAATATTTGCTTGAGAATTGTGTCCTCTATATTAAATGGTAATCAGTGGCAGAAATGTTGGTATATCCTGATATCCACAACCCAATGTGACAAAGAAGAAAAATTACTCAAATCACATAAACTAATAATGCTGTTACGACTGCTAGAAACTTAAAGCATAGACTTTAAAATAACTCAGCCTGTTGAGAAGCGCACTGGCACATCTGCGTACTTCTGCTGTAGTTCATTATCCGATCAATTAAAGACGTACAACTCGTCGTTGCCACAAACATCCGTCAACAAACTGACACAACAGTTAAGCATCGCCAAATAATACTTAATAAACGAGCTTCACTGATTAGTGCTAAACAATTCGGTAAGTAATAAACTTCATTTTCGCAGGTAGCTTTTCGTTTGTTACATTTTTTTTCTGGCTTTTGTTTTCAAAATCATACATAACTGATAGATTGGGGTGGGGCTTATTTTTCAAAATCGTTCGGGGACATGTTTTCCCATGAGGAAAATGATGATTGGGACTAATTAAGTAACATGAAGTTTTTCAAAAAGATATGCTTCTATAAGTAAAGACGGGATGTTGTCCATTTCGCGGTATCTTTACTGGTTTTTATATATATGGCATAGCGATGTTCCCACATATGGACTTACGCTTGGATATTGATCGCAATTAGCATCCTCCTTTTCTATTGATGCTCCAGAAACATCTCTAAATAGATTTTCAACAATGAGTTATGGTAGTACCCTGAGAGAGAGTTGCGAAGAGAGAAAAATGGAACTTCAAATCCAGCCAGACGGCTGCTGTCACGAATTGTCATTGACAGCCATCCATTTTTTTTGATGCTTTTCTTACAATTGAACAAGAAAACACAAGGCGGTATTGAAATCTCGCGTAAAGTAATTTATGAAAAACCGTCGTTTCCAGCTATTCAATGGGACATTGTTTATTTTTAATTCATTCAAAATACACACAAATCAATATTGAAATATACCATTAACGAAGGTCTTGTCAAAATATCTAGTGGCATAATAAAATACAAAACAGAAAAGTACAGTTTCTCACTGCACAATATACAAAACAGAAAAGTACAGTTTCTCACTGCACAATGAACAATCACAAACAATCACTACACACTCAAAGCAAAACACGCTATTTTGCTGCGCCTGTTTTGATTTGATTTCAATGGCACAAATTTTCATGGCAAGAAAAACAAGTATACAATGAATTCCATGTGTTCTTTTTGCTTCTCCCTCCCAGGTAGTACCTAAATATGCATGGGAAATGTGGTCGAAGCAGTCTGGATACATAATATTGGATATTATAAATTAATTATTAACTAATTAATTATTAATAATGGATACTTTGGGGGAGAACGAATGTTGACTATATTTGAAAAGTGATCTGATTTCAACATTAAGTATTAGGATTACTTATCAAAAATTGTTCTTTTCTTCATGTTGATAAGGTTTTGTTTAGGAAGATTTAAATTTACAGTAGGTTTTGGAAATTATACTTGTTTCGACTTATGCTTCCATTGCCATTTTCAAGCATCATGATATCTCTTTCAGCGTGATTAGTTAAGACCACCAAATTATTTATTTACTATGTTGCTTGCATAGTGCTGACCCAGGAAAATTCAGGAATACTAGGAAAGCTGAAGTTTATACCACGTTTATAAAAAAATATCGTTTATAAAAAAAAGGGTGTTCAACACAGATGATGCTGGCGATCTGTATGTTGATTGAAACGAGGGTGACGCGCTTGGCATAGCTGGCCCACAGCGACTCACAAAGTGCTACTGAATCCGATCAGTAGCGGTGCGGCTTCTTCCTCCTTTCTCGGCGAAAGGGCGTGCATGTGGGCTGCAGCTCACTGCATGCGGGCAGCCTTTCGCTGTGTACTGGAAAACAATGTTCAACGCCACGCGCCGAAAGCACTGCTGCCGACCAGACATTATCACACATGGTTATTGAATAAGCACCGTTCGGCGAGACTGGATCGTTTTTGAAATCTGTGTTAGGGGAAGTGCTTTTTGCAGGCAATTAGTGAAAATTTTGATCAGCATTGCAACAATGAAATTTTCAATAGTGACCTATTTAAAATCGATAAAGTGTTTAATTGAGCAGAATTGTAGAAAAAATTCCAATCGATTGGCTTGTTTAGAATTAAAATCCATCCGCTATAGACAGAGTTATCAGTGGTCAAAACCTGAAAACTTTTTGTAACGCGATCGATTTTGGTTTTTGAAATTGCACCCCCAATATGTTGCCGAAAGACGTAATCCTACGTCAAAAATCTCAATTAATAATCCCATTATTAAGAATAATCAACATTACAATGTGGTTATTGAGCGGCACCGTGGTGTAGTGGTAAGCGTGATAACCTCTCACCCCAGCAGGCCTGGGTTCAATCCCAGTCGGCGCCGCCAGGATGTTCTGAGGGAAGTAAAGCCGTTGGTCCCCGGTTCATGAGTTGATAGGTAGGGTCCAGGTGTGGGAGCTGCCTCCCTGGCATCGGTAGCATTCGTGCTCAGCACGGAAAACAAGATCGACGGATAACAAATCAAGAAAAAAAATGTGGTTAATGTATAATGCCACATGGGAAAACATGTTTCCGAACGATGTTGAAAAATAAGCCCTACACTACTGATAGATGAGATGAAGAAAAGTGCCATTTTAACACAGTTTATCACAGCTTCTCTCTAAGTGTGCTTCATCTTTCGTTACTGCCAGTGTATATCACGCACAAAATATATGAAACATGTGTTTCTATAACAAAACTGATTTCCATTATTGTATTATAGTATGTTTTGTTTGTATTGGGTAAAAATTTATATCTTTAAGAAAAACTTAATAAAACTTGTTGAAAGATTGTGTTTCTTTCATAAACAAATTTAGTGCTCTATTAATTCCAGGCCAAAATCAAAAAAAAATTTACTCATTCTTCTCTGATTTGCATGAAACTTTTCGTAATTTTTTGTTATGGGTTATCATTTTTTAACTTGTATTTTTTTATCAAAATGGTGTCATTTACATTTACAGTAAATTGTAGTACGAAAACGTCACTTTTAACCGCAGTGACACAAAGTTGTGGGGGGAAAAACCAAGGCATTAAAAAATATAGACACGATTTTTTTTTTAAGTTATTTTGAAATTACAAAATATTGTATTAAACATAAATATCTTACAATTTCCTTGCTCTTATTTTGAAATTAAAAAAAAAAAAAACAAAATGGTTTGATCGAATTTTTGATGTTTTAGTTATTACTTTTTTTAAATGTAATTTTGTTGATGATGATGATGATGATGATGATGATGATGATGATGATGATGATGATGATGATGATGATGATGATGATGATGATGATGATGATGATGATGTTGATGATGATGATGATTCGCTTTTTTCTCCGCCTAAAGTATTCATAAGTATTTGAATTACTATTAAATATCAAAAATTCATGATCACCATCAGTGTTGGGAAAATATCAAAAAATCAAATGTCACCAACGCCCAAGATCACGCTTGATTTTCGTAGACAAAAATCAACAAGCAAACAACTGCGGTTGATTTTGCAAGCTGTGATATCGCAGCTCGGAATATCAAGCTAACAAAACTCACCAGCTGCAAATCTCAATAAACTATGGTGAGATTGAGTTTCATGATTTTTGTTTTACACCCGAATGCAACCGAAACTTCCATAAAGGCTTGCAGCAGTCCCTTCGTGTTTGCCATCGGTGAAGAGTAAAAAGAGATAGCAAACTATACTTTCTCTTTCTAAGAAAATAATGTACAGCGGAATCATTTTTGTGTCGAGTCAACTCTCAACTTGATTTTTGCACGATGTGAATAGTCTCGCAATATCAAAGGAGCTTGTAAAATCAATATCAAACATAATATTTTGTTCCAATATCACGCGTGATATTGCGAGCGAATGAGAGCGGAAAAATATCAATTGATTTCTGATTTTTCCATCACTGATCACCATCGTGGCAAATAAAATAGTTTTTGCAGTGCTACAATAATTATAAAAAAGCCGTTATGACAGCTATCGTGCGTATTAATTGCCGCCGAGCTGGTCCCCAATCCCCGCCATTACATATATGCGTTCTCGACTGCATGGGATTGATAGTTCGTGAGTGTCCGTCGGTTGTATGGTAGCCGAAGGAGGGAAGAATTGCCTCGTTCGTGCTCCTATTTAGTGTTGGTCCGAGAAACCAGACCAGAACCGGCCGTTAGAACGGTCCACATCAGTGCGCGAGTGGATGAAATTAAATTTTGAACCTACGTCCGAAAAGTGCGCCGCAACCAAAAAAGGTTAACCACGTGTGCTTACATGATTCCTACGAGAATCCCTGCTGCAAGTGCCCCGACGCTTGCGACGACGCAAAGAGCAACGAGCGACCGCGCGGGTTCATCGTAACCTCTCAATCAACATAGTAGGCAGCCCCTGAGGGAAAAGGTAAGTTGCATGCTACCTTCGTAATGTTATATTTGGCGCTTCAACAAAAAAGTCCACGTTAGATCGATTCGAGAGTTAATTTTTCGTTTGGTTTAAGGGAAATCTTTCCTGTGTTTGACCACCGTTTAATAAAATTAACTTTCTCAATATCGAAATTGGCTTCTTCCATTTGTTACAGAAACGTGCGATTGGACACGATCCATTGCACCCACAGATAGTGATCATGCAAGAGAATGAATATAGCACTTGCTATCAGGAAATTGCTTTTTTAGCTAACACTTTGAAGCAAAAGGCACACTCACGATCGACCTTGAACTTCTCGGATATTAGGCAGAAAATTTGAGCACGCATTCCGATCAATAGGTTTATTTTTTTTACGTGTCGTTTAAGCGTACATCCAATGTATAGGGAAGCCACATCTCGCGCGATATTAACAGAGATACTTCTGTCACTATCATAAAATGAGAAAACGATGATAGAGATTTTCTTCAAAATCTCATCGAATTTTTTGTCATTATAGAACGTGACAGTGTTGTGATCTTCGTAATTACTAACTCATTTAATGATATTATAGTTAATTGTACCGAGGAAATCTTAATAATATATTCGCTCTACCGATTACATACCGTTGTTTGTTTAAATTCATCTAAATCAGTTAGAAATGTTGATGTCAAAACCGCATAAGAATTATTCTCATGAGTGTTTGATCATTGAAAAATGACAAGAAAGCTAATGATAGGTAGTTTCGTCTCGTGATAGTGAGAGGACCTGTTTTCACATCGTCACATAACGGCCGTGATATTTACCAGCTCTGCACACAAAAGGTATTTGTTTTTATGATCTCCGTCTCTATCCCTTACCTACCAGATATAGCGTTAGCAGGTGTTCCGTTCTTATTA